AAGGAAGAAAGAAAGAAAGGAAGAAAGAAAGAAAGAAAAGAGAGAGAGAAAGGAAGAAAGGAAGAAAGGGGAGATAGAGTTATACAGATAAATGTATGTACACAGAGATTAATTATAAGAAGCTGGCTTGCCCGTGCTAAATGGAATCATTATGGACTGCAAACGTGTACTAATAAAAAGTAATAATGATAATTCTAAAAACAAATTGGCTTGCTAAAGTAGGGGCTGGTAAACTAGCATTTAAGCCCGTTTCCTGTTGCTTTAGTGAAATACCCAAGGCTGAGTGTTTTATAAAAAAAAAGATTCACTTTGGTCACAGTGCTGGAGCCTCGAGAACACTATCCCAGCCTCTAGTGAGGGTGTCAGGGTGGACAGCGTCCCAGGCGAAGGCCACAGAGACAGACAGGGAGACAGTGAGACAGAGGGACAGGAGAGGGGTCGCTCGGTAGAGTGTGGATTCGGAGGTGGTGGAGGCTCACTTAGGAGCCTGCTCCCCAAGAACAAGGAGCCCAGTCCCTGTCACAGACCCAGCCACCTCCCAAGGCCCCACCTCCTAAAGTCAAAGGTTCTATCACAAGGGGACCAAGCCTCCCGCACACAGGTGAACCCTTAGGGAAAACCATTCCTGCTCACAGCAGCCAGGCTGCAGCCCGCAGGGCAGGAGGTCAGGAAGGGAGGTCCAAGCTCATCTGATTAGGCCAGGCCCACCAAGGGTCACCTCCCTTTTGGTTGATTCCAAGTCCACTGAGGACAGACTTTCTTCTGCACTCCCTTCCCAGCCATACCTAGAGGAGTGTCTGATTGCTCAAAGAGAGGCTGCATGTCAGCTGGCCAGGCTGTCTCCCAAAACAGGCCGTCACGGTCCACCCCTGGCCATCCCTGGAGCAACCTCGGCTCTGTCAGCCACACTTCCTCTCCAAATAAGGTGACACCAAAGTCACAGCACCTCTGAGCACAAGACAGCTCACCCGTGTGCACCCCCAGAACTGTGCTGCCCCTTTCCCAGAGGACGATGTGTTGTCTTCCCAAGCTGTTCACCTGCTCCTTCAGGGTCCCGTAACCTTGCACCGAGCCCCAAAGTTAACAATGACAACCACACCCTGTGCTAGTGATAGGGCATGCAAGAGTTGAGAAACAAAAATATTTGGTAAGCCAGGAATGGAAGTGCTTGCCTGCAGTCCCAGCACTGTGGGAGGCTGAGACAGGAGGATCACAAGTTCAAGTCCAGCCTGGGCAACTTAATGAGAGACTCTCTCAAAACAAAAAGGGACCGGAGATGTAGCTCAGTGTGAAGGCCCCAGGTTCAATCCCCAGTACTGTGGGCCGGGGATTTAGCTCAGTGGTTTCGCCGCCTGCTACGCAAGCCCAATTACCTGAGTTCAATCCCGGGTAAAAGAAAAAAAAAAAGATTCTTTCCCCAGTACTGCAAAAAGAATTAAAAAAAAAAAAAAAAATCCAGGCTGTTTCCACCACTGTGATGAGGGTAGCTATGGTGGCCGTGGCTTCCCAGTGGTTTGTGGCAGCCATGATGAGAGTCGTCATGGTGACCACGGGCAGTGGCTTTGGTATTATGCCCCTGTTGCTGGGTGGCCTGGGTGACTGGCTGTGGTGTTGGTGGCCATGGTGGCCACCCTGCTGTGTCTCTCAGTGGTGGAGGAGCCGGTGCCCGAGGACCGCTACCACGCCATCTACTTCGCCATGCTGCTGGCCGGCGTGGGCTTCCTGCTGCCCTACAACAGCTTCATCACCGACGTGGACTACCTGCACCACAAGTTCCCAGGTGCGCCCTGGCCCCGCCCCGCCCACCGAATGGCTGGGTGCCCTCAGGGTGCCCTCGCCCCCTCTGACACAGGAGGGAGCCACGGTGGGCCGAGGGTGGGCTGCCCCAGCGCCCCATCCTGCCCTCATCCTCCTCACAGGGACCTCCATTGTCTTCGACATGAGCCTCACCTACATCCTGGTGGCACTGGCAGCCGTGCTCCTCAACAACGTGCTAGTGGAGAGGCTGAGCCTGCACAGCAGGATCACCACAGGTAGCCCCCGTGGCTGCTGGGCCCCATTCCACTCTCCTGTAAAATGGGCACATTTCCCAGGACACTCTGGCCTTCTCTCCTGGAGAACAGGGCCAGGCCGGGCCCCTCTGCCTCTGAGGAGGCCCCAGCCTCCACCCTTGGGCTCTGCACAAACTCTTCCCCTCGCCCAGTGCCCTCTTCCTTCCTGTGGCTCTTCATGGAGGTGTCCAGCCTCCAATGGTGCCTCCTCCAGGAAGCCTTCGGTGTTGCCCCTTCTGGACCTGCCAGGCATCCTCCATCCAGGAGCGGGTGCCTCATACCCAGCTCCAGGAGGACAGGAGGGGAGCGCTGAACCCCTCTCCTCACAGGCTACCTCCTGGCCCTGGGGCCCCTGCTGTTCATCAGCATCTTTGATGTGTGGCTGCAGCTCTTCGCACACGACCAGGCCTACGCCATCAACCTGGCCGCCGTGGGCACCGTGGCCTTCGGCTGCACAGGTAGGGGTGGGCCACGCCACAGCCCCACATACTCCACCCACGTCACCACAGCCCTGGTTCTGTTGGGCTGTGGCTCGGACTTTCTTGTGGTACTAGGGATTGAACCCAGGGCCTTCACTCTGAGCTGCATCCCCAGACCTTTTTATTTTTTTAAATTTTGAGACAGAGTCTTGTTAGATCGCTAAGTTACCTAGGCTGGGCTCAAACTTGCGATCCTCCTGCCTCTGCCTCCTGAGTGCTGGGATTACAGGTGTGTGCCACCACGCCTCCAACTTTGTCTTTCACCGTGACTTCTGGGAAGAAACAGATTTGACACAATGATCTCCTCAATCCATGTGTGCACATATATGTGCACATATGTGTGCAAGTCAAGGTTTCATGAAGTCATGCTTTCCACCCAGGCACATTGGTCACATTTTTGTGTGTGTGTGTGTGTGTGTGTGTGTTTCGAATACCAACGCTGAAGCAGGTGTGGTGGCGCGTCCCTATGAGCCCAGCTACTAGAGAGGCTGAGGCAGGAGGATTGCTAGCTAGTTCAAGGCCAGCCTGGGCAATTTAGCAAGACCTTCTCTCAAAAAGTTTTTCTTTAATGTAGGGGCTGGGGATTTAGCTCAGTGGTTCCAGCACCTGCCTTGCAAGCACAAGGACCCGAGTTCGATCCCTAGTACCAAAAAAAAAGGCCACTAATGTGAAAGGCCACTTCCCGGGTTTGATCCTTAGTACCAAAAAAAGGAAGGAAAGGGGAGAAAAGAGGAGGGAGAAGAGGTGGTGGGAGCAGACACACTGCCCCAGCCCTGCTGAGCATCTGTGTGGAATGGGATGGAAGAGGCCTGCGGTCTCAGTGGCTTCTTGAAGCAAGTTTCCTCCCTGCTCTGGCTGCATGCCCACCCACCTCGGCGGGGCAGCCCAGTCTCTCGGACTCAGGCCCACAGCCCCATCCATGAGCAGCCTCCTGGGTCCCGGCTGGTGGGAAAGAGGGAGCTAAGGTCCCTGCGAGTCTGCACTGCCTGTCCAGCAACGATGCATGTCTTTCTGCTCCTGTTCCACCGGCCAGGGCTGGTGAGGACCCTGAGCCACGGGAGGGCAGGAACATGGGCGGCCTTGGTACCTACTGGGAGCCAGCACTGTCTCCACCGTGTGTGCCGTGAGGTGGTGGCATCAAGCCCCTCTGCCTGGACACCGGCACCTTTTCACACCCTTGCCAGCCAGCAGGGCGCTCTGGCTGGGCACACACATGGTCTAAACTGCCCAGTGACAAGCAGTGTCTCAGGTTCCCCCTCTCTCTCTTAAGTGCAGCAATCCAGCTTCTATGGGTACACGGGAATGCTGCCCAAGAGGTACACGCAAGGGGTGATGACGGGGGAGAGTGAGTATTGCGTACCCCAAGGGCTTCCACGGGATCTGGGGCCTCTTCCTGGGGACCTTCACCTGGGGACTGGGCCAGGGCTCAGCAGCTGGGAGCATGCGCTACGTGTGGACGGCCCACGAGGCCGCACTCAGGGTGCATTTGTGCGCGTGTGTGTGCATGGCAGGGGCTGAGCCCACAGTCCTACAACATCAGGTGCCCCCCTTCAGCACCAGGCTGTCCTCAGAGCTCCGGTGCCACCCACCACCCACCCCTGGTCAGCACTCCCACCCTAGGGTCCTGATGACTTCCACCTCCCTGACACTCAGTAAGTGGTGCCACTGCCCCATCATTACCCAGCACCCAGGCCTCCTCCTCTGGACCTGCCCTGTCCCCTCCTCCAGTGCCTGGTGCAGGGTGCCGACTCCCAGCCCCCAGCCCGGCTCACACATGGGGCTCTGTGCTCTGCCCCCACTCATCCTGGGGTGGCCTGGGGGGTCCCACCAAGCTGATTCTCCCTTGGTGGCATTGGCAGCCCTTGGCGATGCTCTGCTCTGGGGCCCTGGTTCCAGGAGGACGGCCGGGCACACAGATCTCTTCTGCTGGCCCGTAGAGTTTGTGCCCATGGTCCTGCCCGCCCGCGGGATGGCACAGAGGCCATGACCTGCCCCCGCCTCAGGCTACCCATGGCCTTGGTTGAACTGGACGAAGCCCAACAGCCTGGCCATGGCTGCTGGGCCTTCCCAGACACCACCACCACCTGCCCCCCAACTTTGGATCTTGCTCCGGGGTCCCCACATCCCTTCCTGTGCTCAGCTCCTCAACTGAGTGTGAGCACGGCCTTCTGCCAGCCCCAGCCAGGGACACAGCCCCCAAGTCTGCACTTGGGTCCCTTCTCCTGTAGACCCTGGCTTCAAGATCCCCTCCTGGGACAGAATCATCTCACACACACACACACACACACACGCCCTGAGCTCCCTCGAGAACCATGTTCTGGTCCCCTCAGCCCAGCCTGCACCCTGCTGGTCCTGTGTCCTGTGTCCTATCACCCAGCACCGGGGCCCGTGTCATTCCTAGTGGGTCCCGGACGCTCTGGGCCCCAGACCGGTGGCCCAGGGAGGCTGCGCCAGCCTCGAGTTAGGACAGTGAGAGCGGACTCGCGGGGGTGCTGGGGGGACGATGGGCCAGATGGATCAGGAGGGTGCTGGGCGAGGCGGGGCCGGGTGGGGTTGCCGAGTGGGGTGATGGCGGGCCGGGGCTCGGTGTGTTGGAGGCGTGGCCAGACCAGCCCCTCCCCGTTGCGTCCCCAGGCACGGCGGGGGTGATGATCTCCCTGAGCCGCATCCTCACCAAGCTGCTGCTGCCAGATGAGCGGGCCAGCACGCTCATCTTCTTCCTGGTCTCCGTGGGCCTGGAGCTGCTGTGCTTCTTGCTGCACTTGCTGGTGCGGCGCAGCCGCTTTGTGCTCTATTACACCACGCGGCCGAGCGACAGCTGCAGGGCGGGCTACCGCGTGCACCACGACGTCGCCACGGGAGACATCCACTTCGTAAGTGCCTGCGCCAGGTCAGGGCTGGCCCGGCCTCCGTCCTTGTCACCTGATGCGGAGGGGGACCAGCCCTGCCCTGGCTGAATTTCTCTGCTGGAGCCCCTCACTGGCCCCATTGTCACGGGGGCCCAAGGCTCCTGCAGCCGCTGTGCCCCACGACGCGGGGTGTGCGAGGTCCCTGTCCGCGGGGTTACCCTACACTGCCGACTGAGGCTCCTGTGCACGGGGCAGCAGGTCAGGACTCCTGGTGCAGGCCCAGCCTGAGCTCACCCTCTGTCCATTGGAACAAGCGCTGGGCGAGGGGGACACATAGGCTACCCCTTCCCTGGGCCTGCGGGGGCCAGGGAGAGGGACCCAGGGCACGGGGCAGGATCCTCATAGGCTCTAACACAGCGGCCACCAGAGCCAGCCGGGACGGTGTCCCAGGCGGAGAGGGAGTGTCCGGCTCAATTCCCACTCCCCCAGCTCCGAGGAAGGCCGAGCCTAGCTGGGGAGCCTGGTGCCCCCTGGTGGCGCAGGGCGGCAGAGCCCCGGACCTGAGGACCGGCAGGTGCCTGGGGCAGCAGGGGCCGCCTTCGGCCCCTCAGGCCTCCTCGGCAAAGCGCAGCCAGGATGGTGGGGCAGGCCCTCATTCAGGGCGTCCCCGGGGCCTTGTCCGGGGACACTGCAATGAAGTGTCCTTCATGGAGCCCGCAGACCCAGAGACGGCCTTTGATGGAAGAAGACAGGACTGAAAGGGTGCACTGGGGCCCCCGGCCTGGCAGGCGCCCCAAGAATGGGGGTGCAGAGACCACTGCAGGGTGCAGGGCGCGTGTGCAGACTCAGGCTGGGGACGTGTGCGGGGAGCGAGGCCTCCGGGGGCCTGGGAAAGGTGATCGCTTAGGGTTAGGTTTACACACTTGCCATACCAGCTTGGGGGGCTGAGGCAGGAGGATTTCAGCCTGGGCAACTTAGCAGGACCCTGTCTCAAATATAAATGAAGAGTAGGGAATGCAGCTTATTGCGCCCTGGGTTTAATTCCCAGTACTGAAAAAAAGAAAGAAAATGGAGAGACCTTGGTAAGTGAGGGAGAGGGCCCTGTAAACAGTAGGCGATAACTGGTGGTCAGCCGAGGCGGCGCTCCCCACTTGGGTCAGGTGTTCGCCCCATGCCTTCCGGATGCCCCCTCCACCGAGTCCCGTCTTCCTTTCAGGAGCACCACGCCCCGGCCCTGGCCGGCAGTGGTTCCCCCAAGGACAGCCCGGCCCATGAGGTGACCTGCGGCGGGGGCAGCGCCTACGTGCGCTTTGACGTCCCACGGGCGCGGGCGGAGCGGAGTTGGCCTAGCTTCCGAGGTGAGGGCAGAGCCCGCGCACGGATGGCACCAGGGCCTCCGCGGCGCCGCCCTCTGACCCGCCCGTGTCCCCAGCCCTCCTGCTGCACCGCTACGTGGTGGCGCGGGTCATCTGGGCCGACATGCTGTCCATCGCGGTGACCTACTTCATCACGCTGTGCCTGTTCCCCGGCCTGGAGTCGGAAATCCGCCACTGCGTGCTGGGCGAGTGGCTGCCCATCCTGGTCATGGCCGTGTTCAACCTGTCGGACTTCGTGGGCAAGGTGGGTGCGCGAGGCCTCAGGGGCTCCTGGCGTGGGGGCCTCATCCAGGGCCGCACCCTCTGGCCCCACAGGGCGACTCCCAAGTGTCTGCCGACCGCTTTCCTAGGCAGTGGGGTTGCCCACCCTCCGAGGTTGAGCTCCTGCCCCTGAGCCCCCGGAGATGGCAGGGGCCCAGAGAGCCTGGGGGAGGGTAGCACCGGCCACATCTGCAGACAGGGCTGGCGGTGAGCGCAGGGCCTTCCTGCCGGTCTAGGATGGGAAGGAGACCCAAGAGCTCAGGCAGGGCAAGCCATCTCCCTAGGGCCACACAGCAGAAAGGTCCAAGAAGCCAGTCTGTGGGTCTCGAGGGAGCACAGCTGCTTGCTGAGGGCAGTCGAGTCCTGTGACCCCATTTCTCAGAGGGAGTTGCGGTCCCACCTCCTGAGAGCACCGTGGGGCATTGGGCTGGGTGCCAGCGTCCAGCACGAACTGTGTGGATTTGAAGGCTCTTGGGGACACAGGCCGAGCTGGACACAGGTGCCTGGGGACCCACACTCCCACTCCCGCAGATCCTGGCCGCCCTGCCCGTGGACTGGCGGGGTACCCACCTGCTAGCCTGCTCCTGCCTTCGTGTGGTCTTCATCCCCCTCTTCATCCTGTGCGTCTACCCCAGCGGGGCGCCTGCCCTCCGCCACCCGGCCTGGCCCTGCGTCTTCTCCCTGCTCATGGGCATCAGCAACGGCTACTTCGGCAGTGTGCCCATGATCCTGGCGGCCGGCAAAGTGAGCCCCCAGCAGCGAGAGCTGGCAGGTAAGGCTGTGCCCCAGGGACGGCAGGGAAACTGAGCCAGGAGGAGCCCCAGCCAGGCAGCCAAAGGTGCATCTGGGAGAACATCAGTCCATCGCCTCATTCATTCACCCTGCACCTCCTTCGGGAGACACTCTTTTGTGCCGGGCACTGTCCCAGCCCTGGGGACACAGACTCCCCGTGGTTGTGGGACCACAGTCCGGAGATGAGACAGCCAATAAACCCATATGACAGAGAGATGTGATCTCACACAGAGGTGAGTACTGTGGGGAAACGAAAGCTGGAGAAATGGGAGCAGGTGGGCGCCTGTAATCCCAGCACTCAGGAGGCTGAGGCAGGAGGATCATGGTGAGTTCAAGGCCACCCTGGGCTACATAGTGAGTTAAAAAGAAAAGAGAAATGGGAGCAGCAGGATGCAGCAGCAGGTTGGGGGCTCACAGTGTAAACAGCAGCAATCCGGAAAGGCCTCACTAAGGGGGTGGTTTTTGAGCAGCCCAGGAGGAAGTAGTGAGGGAGCCAGCCATATGAAGATGCAAGGGATGACTAGGATGTAGCTCAGTGGCACCATGCCTGCCTGGCAACCACAAGGTCCTAAGTTCGATCCCCTGTACTGCAAAAAACAAGCAAACAAACAAACAAAGATGCAAGGGAAGAGGGACCTGGCAGAAGGGATGGTGCGTGCAAAGGCCCTGAGGCAGAAGCAGGCATGTGTGCCACAGCCAGGAACCAGAGTGGAGGGGGTAGATCTGTGACTGAGGAGCTGCTACAGCTACCTAGGCCTGAGAAGACCGAGGCATTGTCACCCAGTGCGGGTGCTGCCGTGGAGCCGGGAGGTGGTGCTGGATTTCAGATGTTTTGCCAGTAGAGGCCACAGGGCTGGCTGATGATGAGAGATGGGGTGTAAGAGAGTTGAGGGGCATTTCTAGGTTTAGGGTCCACTGTGAGCACTGTGGACAAGAACATGGTGGCTCTCATGACTGTGATCCCAGCACTCTGGGAGGCTGAGGCAGAAGGAGGGAAAGTTCAGGCTCAGCCTGGGCATCTTACCAGCACCCTGCCCCCAAATAAAAATAAAAACCACAGGAGATGTAGCTTAGTGTAACAGTCCTGGGTCTAATCCCCAGTAACATCACCTCCAGAAAGAAGGAGGAGGAGGAGGAGGAGGAGGAGAGAGCCCATTGCTGTCAGCTGAGACAGGGAGGGTTCAGGCGGGACTGATACGTTGGAGGTGCCCATCGGATTCCCAGATTGACCCCGACAAGGTCACTGGGGGCAGTGAAGCAGGGGGGCCCGGGCCCCCGTTGGAGGAGGGTCGAGCTGAGGGAGGTCACGCCTGGAGGGGTCAGCGGGTGCCGGTGGTGGTAAGCACGTGCTTCGCAGGCTCCTGGGGCCGGCCCTGTCCCCATGTTGCACACCAGACCCACAGTGGCCTCGGGTTCAGCCAGTGCAGCCTGGCCTCGCTCACGTGGCTGCCGCACTGGCTGCTCAAGCCCCTGTCACCCACAGGGAACACCATGACCGTGTCCTACATGTCAGGGCTGACGCTGGGCTCCGCCGTGGCCTACTGTACCTACAGCCTCACCCGTGATGCCCACAGCAGCTGCTTCCGAGCTGCCACCGCTGCCAACGGGTCCCTCCTCATGGGGCCCTGAGCCCTGTCACCTTCCCCGCCTGGGGAGGCTGCTCTGGTGGCCGGGACCAGGCTCGAGGCCAACTGCCCGGCTGCCTGCAGTGCCTCAGGGCCCAAGCCAGCCTCCTCCTGTGCCAACGGCCCCAGCTCTCTGGATGCAGCCATCCGGCCACCTGGGCCACGTCTCTGTGACCCAGGGCCCTGCCCAGCACTGTGTCCCACACACCCTCTGCCACGTCTGTGTCCAGTGGCCCCGGCTCGAGTCAGGCCAGCCCTCAGTGGGCCCCCTGCCTGGGATGACAGAGCATGAGCATCCCCGTCCGGGTGAGCCTGCTGCAGGGCCTGCTTCGAGGTCAACTTGGTCATCATCGCTGTCCTCGGCCCTAGGTGGGGGAAGACCCTCCGCCTGGCCCTCAGAGGAGTGGTGCAGTCCCCAGCCTGTCACCCTCGGGCCACCCATCCTTGAGCACTGAACACAGGCGCCTGCTGAGGAAGGATGGTGGCCCGACCTCAGTGTCCCCAGCGGTGGAGCTGGCCCAGGAACGTCCCCTACCCCAGGCCTGGGGCTCTGTCTGCTGGGCCCTGTTGCCTCTCCAGCTCCCCTCAGCCCAACAGGGGTAAGAGAGGGGGCTGAGTTTGGGGGCCACGAAGCAGTTACCCCAAGGTCACCTCAACCCAAGCTTGGCTTCCTCTCCACGCCCCATCCGGTGGGGCTTCAGGGAGGGACATGTGCCTGAGAGTCCATGGGAAGTCGGGAGAGCTGGGGTCACTGCAGGCCACCAGGCAGACTCCAGGGCATCCTGCCAAAGAAGGCTTTCCCAGGGACAGCGCCCAACCGTTGTCCCCAGCCCTAGCCGTGACCATGCTGTCCCCTCACCTGTGTGTCCCGTCCCCCCATGTCCTCTAACTGTACCGCACTGCCCATTAAAAGACAGCGGCTGAGACTGCCCCACCGCGCCTCCCAGGAAGTGTGTGTTGGGGTGCAGGGCTGGAGGGGTGCTGGGACTCAGCGGGGCAGGGAGCCAGAGTGCTGGGATTTGTAGCAAGGGCCCCTTCAGCGAGAGGATCAGGGAGAATGGCTGCACCCCGCCCATGGCAGAAAACAGAAGGTGGAAGGAAGCCCCATCCCAGGAGCTGAGCCTTCTGACTCACATTCTGCTGTTGCTGATTTGTGTGACTCAAATTCCTGCAGTTTTGTGCCTCAGTTTCCCAAGGAGTGGGACTGGGATATGGGGTCCCTAGAAGGAGGGCCAGAAGGCCACCTAAGGTCCAGACCTGTAGCCTCAGGGACACAGGTGGGCACCACATGACCCAAAACCACAGGGCAGTGTCAAAGATTGCCACCAGGTGGCGTGAGGGTGCCACTCTTCCTTCAGGCTGGAGTCCACCTGCGTGTGACTCAAGTTTCTCTGCTGCACAACCTTTCCTGCACTGCTTTCCCCCGTGTTAATGCTTGTCATCACCTTGCCTCTTCTGCAACCCTGAAATACAATAACAAAGCCCAGAATGACATCGTCAGCCATCCAAACTGGGTCAGGGGTGGCCAGGCCCCACACCAGCTTCTGCAGGCCCCAGAGGTATGGGCTTGGGGCCCCTCAGCCCCGCAGTGCCTCACCCAGAAGTGGGCACAGCTGGGAGCATTTTGCTCTGCCCTTTACAGAAAAAGTAGATGAGAAGCCTCCAGGGACCCCTGGCCAAGGAGACATGGTCTGTGTCCTTTGTCTGCCCAACATGGTAGCCACTAGCCAAGCCTGGCTACAGAGAAACCACAGACACGTGACATGCAGCGGTGCTACCAAATGTCTATTGACAATTTGATTTCCCCCAGTACTGAGTAGTAAACCTGAGCCATATACCCCCCAACCCTGTCCTTTTTTTTTGAGATAGGATCTTGCTAAATTGCCCAGGCTGGCCTCGAATTCGTGATCCTCCTGTCAGCCTCACAAGTATCCGGGATTACAGGAGTGCATCACATCTGGCTTAAATTAACTCAAATTTATTGTTTGTTTGTTTTTTTGGTACCAGGGATGGAACTCAGGACCTTGCACTTTCGAAGCAGGCTGCCACACCACTGAGCTAAATCCCCGGCCCAAATTAAATCAAATTTAAATAGCCATGTGTAGTCAGAGCTGCTAGGCCCAACTTCTAGTCTCCCTGGCTCCATGCGTGAAATGGCAGCCCCTCACCTCAGCCCCCCAAAACAAGGTGGCCCAATTGCCCCAGACACTGACCCCACCCTAGACCCTGAAATAAATCACTCCAAGCAATGATACTTTTTCCAATTAAATTTTTTCTTTTCTTTTTTTTTATGAAAAAAGATCACACAGAATTTGCCAACAAACAAAATTCCAAAAGAAACTTTAAAAAAAAAAAAAAGGAAAACAATAATTCCCCCAAAATAACAAAACCAAAGTCTGGCTTTTCCTTCCCTCTAGATTGTCTGCTGGAGCCCTCCTGTGGGTTCCGGTTCCACTTCGGTTCCGGAAGGCGGGGCTGGCTAAGTGCTTTCTGGCCCAGCGAGTGGAGGGGGCGCTGGGCTGGCGGTTCCCCTCCCTCTCCCTCCCTCCTCCTCCTCCTCTGTCTGGGGGCGAGCACAGTGGGGGGGGGGGGGGACTGGGGCAGTGAAGCCGGGTGCTGGACACTCACAATCTAACAGGAAATAAAAAATAATATTCCGCACGTCAGAGTGTGTTCGCTTTTTTTCCTTATAATTTCATAGCTATTTTTTCACAGTTTTAAAAAGTTTATATTTATATATATTTATATATATTTATCTTTATATATATAGTTAAAAAGTTGACTCCATTTAAAGGCGTATCATACAGGGGCGGGGAGTCGCTCTCGGTACAATAAAACTGTACAGGTTGAGGACCCGGCGCCCTCCTGGCGGCGGGCGCTGCTGGGGGGTCAGCACCATGGGGGTCTGTAGTGTGAGGGGCTGCGCTCCCTGCCCGCTCCGTCCCCAAGTCCAGGCCGCCCTCCGTCCTGAGCAGGCAGTGGGCAGCGGGTGGCGGCGGCTGTCCCGTCTGTGGGGCCTCAGTCTGCAAGGGCTGGGAAGGTGCTGGGGCCGGGCCGCCGTGGAACAGCCACACCCTGGTCGCCGAGGAGCCGGCCCGGGGGGCTGGGCCGTGTGCACACGTGCATGCATACGGGCACACACGCCTCACTTGCCCGGGCGCGCGCGGGCACATACATGCACGCGCTCGTGTCCGCGCCCCAGCAGTGGGCCTGGCGGGAGGGCCGGGTCCTCAGCACAGCATGGGCACGCCGTCCGTGGAGAAGATCATGCCCGTCGTGGGCTCGTAGGTGCCCGCCAGGTAGTACAGGCCCTCGCTGTCCTGGTACTTCTTGGTCTTCAGCATCTGCTCGTACTGCTCCAGGCCCACCACCAGGCACTTGTGCGACACTGTCTGCACGTCATTCTCGTCCACGTGCGAGGACTGGTACAGGGCGCGCTGCAGGGCAGGGCGTCAGGCGTCAGGGACGGGTTGCCCAGAACCCGGGGGAGACCCAGAGACAGACAGCTGGACAGAGACGGAGAGACAGGAGAGCAGGGGGCAGACTGGGAGGCAGGCGGGAAGGGGCCGAGCAGGCAGGAGCCGGGCTGAGGGCGGAGGCCCTACCTCCATGAAGTCCTTCCGCTGGCTGGAGGCCCGCAAGGCGGCGGGAAGGCTGCGGCCAGACTTCTGGTCCCAGGGCTGGGGGGACAGGCAGGGGCTGAGGTGAGCCCAGCCCAGCCCCACCCCCACACCCCAGGGCAGCCCTGCACCTTAAGCTCCTGCTCAGTCAGGCCCTCGCCCGGCCAGGCTCACCTGGCCCTCGTGGAGCTGCCGGCCCGGGCTGGTCTCCTCGGGGTGGTAGAACCACTTGACGCGGACCACCATGTTGCTGCCCCACGACTCCCACATGCTCTGGATGCGGCCAATGTAGGGGAGGTTGGGGCGCCCAGCCGACAGGAACACGGCGCAGTCCCCGATGCGGATCATCTCCTTCCCGCGCACGATGGCCTTGTAGAAGAGCTTGCGGGCCTTGCCCTTCATGCCGCGGCGCTGCAGGCCAGGCAACAGTCAGGGGCTGCACTCCGCGCCGAGCCCTTGGTGCCCCGCGTCCCGGCCCTGCCCTCTGGGTCACCAGCTGCCAACCTGGGGTGCTGCCTCCAATGGGCTGGTGCGGGGGGACTTAGGGGTGGCTCCTGAGGCTGAAAGTGCCTTTAACTCCCACCCCAGTGCACGCTGGGACCTGATCCTGAGCCCCACGGGATATCCAGGGACCCCACTGCCCCACACCCCTGTGACACTGCTCCCTGCAATCCCCACTATCTAGGCAGGGCCCGTGGGGTCCAGGCAGAGGGGCCTTAAGCCCACCCCTGCTGCCCAGTCTCAATCTGGCCAACCTACAACCTCTGGCACAGCGTGGCCCTGGGGGTGGGGGTATCACTTGCTCACGGCTCAGAAAAGGATCCCCTAAGAGAAAAGGACCCCTGTTCCAGGAACAGAGCCCAAGATGGGCAGATGCCACACAGCACCCTTCTGGGGGTCAGCATGCCAGGAGCAGCAGCCTGGGAGTCCGGGGTACGTGCTGGGAGCTGCTCAGATTCCCTTGGCTCAGGCACAGGGGACCGCTGAGGTGGCTGAGCAACTGCCAGCAGCTGTGCTTTTTGGCACTCCATACCTGCTCCCCTTGGCAGACACCCCCAGTGGGTAGTCGGAACACCCCATCCTCCCACTGGCCACTGTGACGGGCTCAGGAGGGGACAGGACCCAGGCCAGACACTCAGCCCTGGGAGGGACCTGCTTCCTACTATTGCTCCTGAGCTAGGAGAACATGACCCGAAAACCACTGTACCTTCCTGCTGCCTGGGAAGTGGGGCTGCCGAAGGAGACCAGCACAAAGGGAGGACAGAGCCCTGAGGCCTGGGGTATGAACCCAGGAGAATCTGAAGACCACCTTCAAGCCCCTGGATCCACCTGTACCTGAAGCTGCACACCCCGAGCCTTTCTGCTAAAGAGCCCAGGAAGTTAGGCTTTGTGGGTTTAGGTCAGTCTTGTGTCTCTTTCCTTTGCAGCAGTAAGGCTACTCTCTGAGGGGCACAGGATCCAGGACACAGCCACACACGCCTGCCCTCTGCCCCAGGCTGCTTGGCTGCTTACCTGGGTGGGCTTGCCAAACCACTTCCAGAGCTGCCGGGCGGGCAGGAAGGCTGCAATCTTGGGCCGGTTCTCCACGGAGGGCAGGCGCTGCCGCTTGGCCAGCTCCTTGGTGGTGGGCAGGTGCACACCCTCACGCTTCTTGGGGCGGCTCCTGGGCCCAGCCTGCGCCTTGGGCTGCAGAGGCTGTGCAGGCTGGGGCGGGGGTGCTGGTGGCTGGGCAGCAGGTGCCTTCTTAGCCGAGGAGCGGGCCTTGCTGGCTGGCTTGGGGGGCTTGGCAGGCAGGGCGGGCTGGCTGGAGGGGCCAGGCACAGGCGCACGGGTCGCCTCGTCGTCTGAGCTGCAGGAGGAGTCCTCGTCCGTGGTGGAGGAGGAAGAGGAAGAAGAGGAGGAAGAGGAAGAAGAGGAGGAAGAGGAAGAGGAGGAAGAGGAGGACGAGGAGGAAGAAGAAGAGGAAGAGGAAGAAGAGGAGGAGGATGAAGAAGAGGAGGAGGAAGAGGAGGAGGAGGAGGAGGAGGCCGGGGAGGCCGGGGAGGCCGGGGAGGACGCCCTGGAGCTGGTGGCGCTGCAGGTGTGTCCTCCCGCAGCCCGGTTGTCCCCCCGGGTCTTGTCGCTGTCCTCCTCGCCTTCTGTCTCCGAGCTGCTGCTGCTGCTACTGCTGCTGCTGCTGCTGCTACTGCTGCTGCTGCTGCTGCTGCTGCTGCTGCTGCTCTCTGACTCCTCCGCCCCGTCCTGCTCAGCCTGGGCCTTGTCTGGGCTCTTGGGGTCCCCAGGGTCCTCCATTGGGAGCCCCACCCCAGGCTCCTGGGCAAGGTCCCCACCCAGGCCCTTGGGCTCCTGCCAGCCCCCCGCCACCGTGTCTTCCCGGAGGAGCAGGGCCTCTTTGGCCTTCTTGCTTTTGGGGGACGTGACCCCCTCATGGTCCAGCTTGACGAGCAGCTCAGCTTCCTCCCCCGGCCTCCGGGGGCCCTTGGGCCCCAAATCCTCTGTGGCCAGGGCCTTCTTGGGCTTGGGCCGGGTGGCGGGCATGGTGATGAGGGGCGCCGGGGGCAGGGCCACAGTGGGGGCCGGCAGCTCCCCAAAGGGCTCAGGAGCTGGGCAGCTGGCAAAGGTGGATGGCACTGGGCCAGGCTGTGGGGGAGCCAGGCGGGCCTTGGGGGCTTTGGCCCGCTTGTCCACAGGTTCTGGGGGGCTCTTCTTGGAACTTGGGGTGCCGATTGGCTCCAGGCCCGTGGAGGTAATGGGAACCTCATCAGTGGAGGCCACCTCCTCTGAGACAGCGGCTCTGTCTAGAAAACAGAAGACAACGAATGAAATGGAGGCTGCACTGGGGCTGCAGGCTGCGGGGCCCTGAGCCAGGGCAGCAGCCTGGGGCACTGCATGCGGCCCAAGCGCCTCCCTGAACTTGCGACTGCGCTCAGGCTCAGCTTGTGACAGCCTCTTTCCTCCCTCGCCCTAGTGCAAGGCTGCACCTGGACAGAAATCCCAGTGGTCCTGGGCTCATGTGGATTCCAACCCACCCCGCGCTGCCCCTAGCCTAGCCATCCCGAGCCAACCTACCGCCCTTGGCCTTGGTGCTGGGCTTCCGCCCACGCCCTCGAGCCTTGCCTCCTGGCTCCTCGGACCCTGCTGTGGGCCCCTCTTTGCCTTCCCCGGGGTCTTTGCTGGTCTTCCTGCTGCGGCGCTTGGCACTGGGCACCAGGAGGGCTGGGGATGGCTCAGCACCTATAGGGCACAGCAGATGGTGGCTCAAGCCTGGTCTCCACCGGCCCAGCTTCCAACTCCATGCTCGTCACATCTCCAGGGAGCAAGACATGGCGGGGATGATTCTGGCCGGGCTCCCCAAGTGACCTGAATGATCAAGGCTCTGTGCACCATGAGGGGTGCTCCTGGGACCCACCTGGGAAAGTTCAAGACCTCTGAGGTTATCACACCGGAAGGCAGTGCAGGGCAAGTTTTGCCCCTGCTCCTTGAGGACCAGGGCACTGGATGAGACATTAACCTTTTTTTTGGTACTGAGATTGAACCCAGGGCCTTTGCACTGAGCTATGGCCCCAGCCCTTTTTTATTTTTTATTTTGAGACAGGGTCTCACTAAGTCACTAAGTTGTTGTGTAGGCTGGGCTTGAAACTATGATCCTCCTGCCTCAGCCTCCCAGAGTGCTGAGATTACAGGCATACACACTATGGCTGGCTTCCTTAACCTCTCTGAGCCCTGGTTTCATTACTCCTCAAAGACAATGGCCACTGCCACAAGGGACCATGGTTAGAATTCGCACTATGGCTTGGAACCATCAAAAACACTGGCCCAGCCTCCTGTGGCCCTCACGGATCACAGGACCCATGTGGGGGCCCAAGATCACCATCTCCACCGTTCCCACCCCTATGGGTTCTGATGGCCCAGGAGGGAGACACCCAGGGCAGGCTGCCGGGAACCAGAAGGGCAGCCCTGGAAGGGCAGCTGGAAGCCCTCAGTTGTGGGCTGCTCACTCACACTGGATCTTATACTCGGGCGGCAGGAGGCGGATATGCGACAGGGGGATTCTGCCTGTGTCCCCGTCATCAAACTCCACGGTGATCAGGTCCCCGTCATCCTCCAGATCCAGCAAACCTGCAGGTGTAGGGAGACAGGTCAGGGGCCCCAGAGTTCCGCCTCAAGTAGGCACAGCGCTGGGGATGCCGGCGGCAGACACTGTGTGCACAGCGAGTGTGGAAGGCTGAGCCGGGCCAGGGCCGCTCTCCACATCCTGCACTTCAGCGCCAGCAGACAGCAGATCACGCCCGAGAGACCCTCCCCAAAACAGCAAAGGGACCGCAGGCTGGCGGCCCTGAGGGACAGGAGAGAAAGGATGCTGCCACTGGGACAGGTGCACAGGAACTGACCCTGGTCTCAGCTTTGCCACCGGCAGCTGCCTGGGAGGTGGAATGCCAATGAAAAGAACAAGGTGGGACCAGGGGACCCCAACAGTGTACAGACTGAGGCCTGCAGGAGCCGGGAGGTTCGCTCACCTCTGGCAGGAAGGACACCAGGTACAGCTGGGGTCACCAGGACATCCACACCCTGAGCAGTGACACCCCATACCCCTTCTAGATGTAAACCCTAGGCTTGCACCCCCAGGACACAGCCTCAGGACACTGCTGGTATTTGGGGGTCCCCAAAAACACTCCTGCCACCAACAGGAGGCTGCACTCATGCACTGAGCCCGTCATCATTTCTCTTCACGGAGGACCAACGGCAACATCCGGAAAGTCTCTAAAGATGTCACAAACCAGGCGTGACAGCGAATGCCTATAATCCCTGCACTCGGGAGACTGAGGCAGGAGGATCAAAGGTTCAAGCCTGGCCTCAACTACACAGTGAGACCCTGTGTCAAAAAAACCCCACCAAAAACAGAAAGCATGAAGAACTAACAGGCAAGAAGCAGATCAGGAAAAAAAAAAAGCTGACGAAATTCAAAGTACAAAAAATTTATCCTCAGAAATGTTTTTTAAAAAGATAATGTGTTGAAGCAGAAACATTTTGTGAAAAGGAACATTCAGGAAATAAGAAAGAACTCTTAGGAGTTTTTAAATGATAGCATGAATTTTAAAATTCAAGAGAACAGAAGGGATTAGAAGGTAAAGTAGGGGAAATCTCCCAGAAAACGGAACAAAAAGATAAAGAAGGAGACAATAACAGGGAGGAAGATATGAACGCTGAGGACGCCAGACTATCTGAGTTCCAGGACTGCAGATGGAGGAGCAAGGAGACAATGCAGGGTCAGAGCCCAGAAGCTTCCAGGACTGGAGGGGTCTGCGACACAATCACAGTGAGCACAGCTCCCAAGTCCCCCCAATGGGGAACACACACGTGGAGAAAGGTTGGGGGAGCCCAGGGATTTCGGGCCTATAGATAACAAAAAGACCCAGAGTTTCCAGAGAGAAAATTAGGGCTCTTACAAAGATCTGAGAACTGCAATGCCAGCGAACTTCTCAAATTACACTGGAAGCTAAGTAAAAATCAAACAATGACTTTGAAATGGTGAAGGGAAATTATTTCCAATCTAGAATTATTTTTGGGGGGGGGATACCAGGGATCAAACTCAAGACCTTGTGCTTGCAAAAGAGGCACGGTGCCACTGAGCTAAATCCCCAGCCTCCAATCTAGAATTTACACCTAGCTCAGCTCTCTCTAGAGAGCAGGAGAAAGAGATTACAAACACATGGGGCTTAAGAGACTCACCTCCTGGGGGTTCCTGCTCAGGAAGCTACTGAAAGATCCTCTACTAAGATGAGCCAAGAAAGAGAAAGGCAAGATGGCACACTCGAGGAGCCCATGCAAGCCTCAGCAGGTGCCCCAAGAGGCCCTGCAAGGTAGCCCGGAGAGCAGGCAACCTGGCCTGGGAGCCCAGAATCCAAGACAAATTCTTCCCACACAACAGGATATTAGGGTCAGGCGTGGTGGCACATGCCTGTAATCCCAGCACTTGGGAGGCTGAGGCAGGAGGATCACCGTAAGTTTGAGGCCAGCCTGAACTACATCGTAAGACCCTGTCTCAAAAAAACCAGAATCCTAGGGTACTGATGATAAATGAGTGACCAACAGATGGAAAAATGAATCTTCTCAGCCTAATATCCTGTGGCTCAGACTGTAACTGACTCCCGTTTCCTGGCTGCTGGGCACCCCCTATTTTGCTCACCAAGCAAGTAGATGGCAGGAAGCTGAGGCATGGACTGCATCTGCTATGTGGGTTTCGGTCTTGCGGGCACTCACAGCCCACCTCTGGATGTGCTGGCTTGGTGACAGCTGAGGGGAGAGCCCCCTGGTCCCCGCCTCTTCCCTCTGCCTGACACCCCACCCGCATCTTCTGAGGCACCCGTTCTTTTTATCTGCCCAGCTTCCATTCTCTGTCCTGCTGCCAACACCCCAACTTTCCTGGGGAGACCACCTTCCCTGTCACCCTCAGTCAAGTGTGTGAGGAAGCCGACCTCATCCTCAGCTTCAGGGACAAGAACCTGGCCCAGGCCAGCCCAGCAGACACTGCAGCTGGGTGGACAAACACTGCCTTATGTGGGCCTTGGGGGAACCCGGAAAGGGAGCCAGAATCTGATGGCAGCGCCTGTTAGGAAGGTAACGTTCCTTCAAGGAGCTGTGTGAACCAGCCCAGGGAGTCAAGTCCTGGTGGGCTCCTCCAAACAGCACCTGGATCCACCCATGCCCAAAGGCCCTGCTGCTCTCAGTACGTGAGCCAATAAAAGCCCTTCTGATGAAGCCAGCTAGCACAGGCTTCTGGTAACTGACTGAATCCACCTTGACATGTTAGGAGCCAGGGCAGTGCAGGAGGGCACATCTCACCTCGGACCACGGTGCCCGGGTAGAGGCAGCGGTACTGCTGGCTCCAGTAGGCCGCGATCCTGGTCCCCTGCGGCAGGAAGCGGGTGGAGGCTGGCCTCACATCAATGATCTGCAAGGGCACAGGTGGGCGCACAAAGTTGTAGCCACAGCCTTTGGCTGGCCCAGCCCAGCCCAGCCCCCTGGGCCTGCTTCCCACCACTCACCGCCTCCTGCAGCAGCTGCTCCAGGCAGTAGATGTGGGGCCGGTTCCCGCGCTCCCCCTCCACCACCACACGGTATCTGCAGGGCCGGGCATCATGTGTGAGGGGTGTGCCCAGGGCCCCCACCCAGGCCGCCGAAGCTGGGGGCCTGCGAGGGCTGGTACATGGGTCCTCTCCCTGCCGCCTGTGCCAGCTGGGCCCAGGGCCCGGCCCACACTGTCCCCTCCTGCGGAGCTGACCACACCCCTCCCACGCCTGCACTCACATGTCCGGCGAGTGCACGGTGTGCACATGCCCCGCATACAGCAGCTTGTCGTCCATGGGGATGAGCACACGCAGCCCGTCCTGCAGCTCGTCCTTGTCAATGACGCAGGAGCGCGGGGCTGCAGGCAGAGGGCCCATGAGGGACCAGCACATGTGTGCCCAGGCGGGTGCCACCCCAGCCTGCCCCAAGTGCCAACACCCTGGGGCCACCCCTTGTCCGGGGTGCCTTCCCCATGTCGGCGTCTGGCCCCTGCCCGAGGCCCTCTGGGGCTTTCCATGGCCTCTGCTCTGCCCATGAGCCCCACGGCTGAGGTTCCCTGCGGCCTCTGCGCCCACTTGCCCTCCTGGCTCCCCCAGGCTCTGTCCTCCAACACCGCTCTTCTTCCTCAGGCCTCTCCCTCAACCCCGTCCTAACCAAGACCATGCAGGCAGCGCCAGAGCCGGGCAGCAGGGACCCTCTCCTCCACCCCCACCACTGCCTACGCCTCAGGCCGAGGGGACTTCCCACACCTGGGCATGGGGTGCGGCCGCATTGCTCGCCTTGGCCAAGGGCAGAAGCAGCTGAATGCCAGATCCAAGCCAAGGCCCTGAGACCCTTAAACTCCGGCCACATCACAGGGCCACTGTGCCCACCACACCACGATGTGTCACACGAAGCAGAGTGGCACCCAGCACCGCTGGAGACAGCTGTTGGTCAACACAGCTGCCCGGGCTCCGGGACCCCAGACCCACATGCGAGTGACCAGGCACTCCCTTGGGGACACCCTGCTCCCCGCGCCCCGGCCCCCGTGCCCGCTGGACATGACTGGCCTGGAGTGTCCTCCAGGCACCCCAAATCCTATGTGGGAAACTTCAGTGCCTGTGTGACCCCCCACAGCTTCCCCAGGACCCCAACACCAGTCCTCTTCCTGTCTCCTCTGCTTGCACGGCCCAGCCCCACACCCTGACCACTCTCCCTCCCTGCAGCTCCCACGACGGCTGTGGTCACTCCCATCTGTCTGGAGGGCGACCGCCTCCCACCTGGACACCAGCCCTCCTGGGCCCCAGTGCACTCTCTTTGCCGCAGCTGGGCAGCTCATTTCAATCCCACCTGACCTCACCACTCTCCACTCACAGCCAGGGAGGCCACAGGTGCTCTTAGGATGCGCACCAAGCTCCTCTCAAGGCACAGCAGACTGCGGGTGATCTGCTGCTACCTTCCCCAGCCCGGAGGATGCTCAGCCACCCCCAGAGCCACCTGGCCTCCCTGCATTGCCCTCAGGGACCTCACACACGCTGCTGCCTGCTGCAGCTCAGGCCAGGGCTCAGATCAAGCTTCCTGATGGAGCCCCGTGGTGTGTCCCCCCCCACATACATACACAGAGCCTCGCAGCCCCTCACCTGGGGTCAGCGGTCGCTCCACAGCACCCCCCCGAGGCAGGTGCTCGTCCTCTGAGAAGCTTGAGTCCTGGTTGGGCTCGAAGTCCTCCTCGGCAGCCATGCTCTCCATCAGCTTGCTCACAGCACCCCCCTTCCCACGGTTCTGGGGACACAGCGCAGCAGGCCGCTGGTTTAGGGCACTGCCTGGCAGCCCACCTGGTAGGGGACCCTGCCCAAAACTCAGGGGATCCACGTGTGTACACAGGGGTTCCAGCTGGGTACACCCCGAACAGTGGGAGGACGACACAGGCTGGAACTGACTGCTCAGGGCCTGCACATGCTCAGCACAGTACTCACTACTCAGTGCTCAGTGCTCAGTACTGTCCTATTACCACAGCAAATGCCTTGGTTCCCCAAGGGAAACTGAAGTGGCATCTCAGGGTGCAGGCACTACTGCCAGTCACCCGGCCTCACGGGACACCCAGCCCCAGCTTCAGAAGCACAGGCAGCTGCCTCAGGGCACTGTCCCAACACCTGCCCGGGACCTCACCTCCTTCTTGGCCTCCTTCCCGCTGGCCTTGGCTTTGGTCCTCTTGGCGGTGGCCAGGGGGCTGGCATGAGGGGCCCTGGCCTCAGGGGGCAGGCTAGGGACACGGGGTGGTGGCAGCATGGTGGCAGAGCCAGCCTCCTTCCCTTTCTTCTTCTGGAAAGGAAGCAAAACAGAAGCTTGAAGGCAGGGCCTTGCTGCCTGGAGAGGGGAGCCAGGGTCCCCATCCTGCCTCCTGTCACTCACCACGGCCCCCACCGTGGGAGTAACCCTGATGGAGCCACACCAGAGACAGGGACAAGACCCCTCACTCCCTGCAAGTGGCTCAGCCATTTTATCACTCTGCATGTTCTGTTGCCCTAAAAGACTGGCAGGAAGTATACATAGAGGTATAATCAAAAAGTACTGTGAATGTTGACATTTAAAAATTTATTATAGAGCCGGGGATGTAGCTCAGTGGTTTCGCCGCCTGCTGCACAAGCGCAAGGACCAGAGTTCAATCCCCGGTATCAAAAAAAAAAAAAAAATTTATTATAGTAAAAGACGCATTATCATTAATCCCCCTCACTTTGAACACATTTATCCCATCATTCTTGCTACTTTCTGAAGCAGTTCTGGGAGTCCTCTTTCATGTCTTTCATGAATGTCTTTAGTTGCACTGTTGTGGCTGCCTCAATGTCCTGAATCAACTCAAAATGTTTCCCTTTAATGGTCATTTTAACTTTGGAGAAAAACCAGAAGTCCCATGGTGCCAGATCCGGTGAATAAGGTGGGTGAGGACGTTTATGCATTTTTATGAGCCTGCCTTTCCCGTAGATGGTATTCAGCAGCAGCATTCATGGGATATTTGATCATACCTTGTAAAGACACTCAGCAAAGAGGACTTCCAGAGCTGCTTCAGAAAGTGGCAGGAACAGGGCTGGGGATTCAGCTCAGTGGCACCTCGCCTGCCTCGCAAGGGCAAAGTCCTGAGTTTGATCCCCGGTCCCCCCAAAAAAGAAAAATGGCAAGAACAAGGCCAGGTGTGGTGGCACATGACCAGCACTTGGGAGGCTGAGGCAGGGGGATCTCTGCAAGGTCAAGGCCAGCCTGAACTACACAGTGAAATCCTGTCTCAAAGAAAGTGGCAAGAACAATGGGATAAGTGATGAGATCAATGGAAATGTGTCTTTACTGTAATACATTTTTAAAATTGAAACATTCACGGTGTCCTCTGGCCTCTTGGATGTGAGTTCCCGACCAAAAACCCTTCTGCTGCTAACAATGTGCCAAAGCCTTCCAGAACTCTCCACCAACACACGCAGGCAGGCAGGCACCAAAGCTACACAGACATTTTTTTTTTAAGATGTGGGAATTTACCAAAAGTCCTGCTCTGAAATCCCCGCCTCCCATGTGGCTAATACACACAGGGGTGGCTCTGTTTCTCGACATAGCAGCTACAGGATATGCCACAGGGAGGGTGACTGTTGGGGGCTGTCATGCATTTGACCACCCCCAGGGGCAGACAGACAGGCTGCCTCTATTTTCCACTGTTTCAAATGATGCCACACACACACACACACACACACACACACGAGACCTGATGTGTAATTCTAGAGAGAGGACAGATTCCTGGAAGGGGACTGAAAACCAGGGTCCCAAAGTGAGGGGGAGCCGCCCATCTCAGAGGTGCCAGCAGGGAGAAATGTGCAGCCCCTCTCTTCCAGTCTGGGACAGGATGTAGCTGAGGCCCTTTTAAAAAGGGGCCTCCTGGGGCCAGGGATTTAGCTCAATGGTGTCCCACCTGCCTTTCAAGGACCTGAGTTTGATCCCCAGTATGAGAAAAATAAATAAAAATAAAAATAAAAAGGGGCCTCCTGTATAGCTTCACAGATCTGAGCAAAGAACGGGAGCAACCTGGATGCCTGGCCATCTGACCCACAACTGGTGCCCCACACACAGCTTAAACCCTTGGTTGCACTCCTAGCGAAAGCCAACAGCATAAGAGAGTGAAAATGCTGCTCCTTGAACCAAACTACAGCTAGCACAACCCAGGGGTTCCAGTGGGATCGAAGGCAAGTGACATGATGCTTCTGGTTGTTCTGTTTTGTTTTGCTTTTGGTGGGACAGAGGATTGTACCCAGGGCCTTCACAGCAACCTACACCTCCAGCCCTTTTTACTTTATTTTTAAATTTTAAGACAGGGTCTTGCTGAACTCAGGCTGTCATTAAACTTTTAACCCTCCTGCCTCAGCCTCTCAGAGTGCTGGGATTACAGGTATGCACCACCAGGCCCAGCATGATGCTTTTGAAAAGGGACATGTCAAACCCCAAATGACCAAGGCCAGGGAGAGGAAATTAAGAAACAGAAATTCAAAGCAAACAGCATTCAAAGGGACAAAAACAGCTGTGTTCTAGGGATAAGAGGTCTATAGCTTCATCCCATGGTGGAAACGTATTCGTGTGTGCTCTGTATTTTTTTTTTTCTTTTTGGTTTTTTGAGACAGGGTCTCATTATGTAGCCCAGGCTGGCTTCGAACTCATAATGAACCTCCTGCCTCAGCCTCCAGAGTGCTGGAATTATAGGCATGCACCATCATGCCTGGCCTGTATTTTCTTGTTTCTGTGCATGTTTTATTCCCATTTATATCCCTGAAAGCAGAAGGTATGCTGAGGTGGGGAGCACCCTGGTTACACCGCCTTGGTCTCCAGTATCTGCTATTGGTTGGATGCTTTTTCTCAGGGCTTTGTGGCTGCACACCTAAGGTAAGGAAAAAGGCCATCTCTGTACAGATCTTTTCTTTTCTTTGGTACTAGGGATTGAACCTTGGTACATTCTACCAGTGAGCCACATCTCCAGCACTTTTTATTTATTTATTTTTCATAGGTTTATTATTTGTTCTTTTCTATAATTATGGCAGATTTATTAGAGATATCTTTTCTTTTCCATGTCAATCTGCCTCAGGTTTAAATATTACAACATATAACTTAATTGTAAAAAGCCTCATCTGGCAAACATTTATTGTAAGTACTGATATATTGCATTTACTTTATGCATTTTACTTTATTTCCTGTTTCCTCTATCCCTATGTATTTGTCTCCCCACTGACATTCGGGAATGTGTTGGTTTTTTGTTTGTTTGTTTGTTTGTCTGTATTGTGGTACCAGGGATCGAACTTGGGTCCTTCAGCTTGTGAGACAGGCAGCAGAACCACTGAGCTAAATCCCCAGCCAGGGAATGTGTTTTTTGTTGTTGTTGATTACACACTCCCTTAATCTAGTTGTTTTCTATTGGTTGGAATTATTCACTGTATTTCTATTCTCTTAATGGTTGTTACTCTTTGTAGGTAACAGGGAAAGGGAACATTACCAGAAGCCCTAGTCTCCTGTGAGCCACAACAGCACAAGGTGAATTAAAGAATAAAGACAGGAGAGAAGATTTAGGGCACAGCTGGGTTCTGGGCCTGATCAATGTTGCTCTGAGCAGTAAAGACGAAGACACACAGGCTTGCTACTATTTATTGGGTTCACAGGGAGTAACAAATGACTCAGAGGGTGGCCAGTCTTTATTTATTTTGAGACAGCTTCACTAAGTTGCCCAGGTTGGCCTCGAGTTTGCAATCCTCCTGCCTCAGCTTCCCAGCATCCTGGGAGCCCAGATTATGTCCAGATTTTCTCCCATTTATTTATACTCCAAATCCTATTTTGTTTTGTTTTGTTTTGTGTTTGTTTGGTACCAGGGATCGAACTCAGGACCTTGTGCTTGTGAGGCAGGTGCCAGAACCACTGAGCTAAATCCCCGGCCCCAAACAATTTTTATTATCACATAAAACCAGCAACTTTTTTTCCCTCTGACCAGAAAAATCATTGCTGGGAGCCCCACCCCTTTTATTTACATGAGAAAGCCAGGGACTTTCCCTCTTATGGGCCACCTGGGACATGCAGTTGGCAGAGGTACCCACTTCATGTCGGTGAGCACTCAATAGATACAGCAGTTCCCTTAGCCTCAACCTCTCTTTCCATGTTCCAGTTACCCAACATCAACTGCCGTCCAAAAATGCTACATGGAAAATGCCAGAAATGAACAACTAAGAAGTCTCTGACAGCATGCCATTCCAAAGGACGTGATGAACACTTGTGCCACCCCAACCCATGCCCTCACAGTGGGGACACAAGCCACCCCTGTCCCTGGAGTCCAGCTGTACCCCCTTGGTCACTTGGCCACCACCTGGGTATCAGAAGGACAGCTGCATTGTGGCCAGACTCACTCAGGACTCTGCTCTCTGCAGTTTCAGGCATTCATGGGGACCTCAGAACACGTCTCCAAGGACAAGGAGCCGAATGGATCCGTGGTCTACTGGGGGGGGCCTGGCATTACTATTTATTATGTTGGCACCCTTTCACCAAGGCCTGAGAACACAAGATAGCTTCAGCCCTGAGCACAAAACCACAATGCCCATGGATGGTGCTTGGCTATCCATCCCCTCATTGGGAAACTGATTTCTGAGTCTCAGCCCTTTTTGTGATTTTTCTCGTAGAATGTCATTGTTTTATGAGGGTTCTGCCTCCACTGGGGACTCAGTGGAAAGGCCTGAAGCAGTGTACTGTGGAGTCGGCCAGTTAAGTCTGAATGTAAGCACTTAAGGGAGAAGCCACTGGCCATTAACTTGCTAGCAGCCAGTGCAAAAAGGGTAACACATCTAATTATTATCACATTTTTGAAAAGCAAGTATTCTTGGGCCAGGGATGTAGCTCAATGGCGCTGCCTGGCAAGTCCAAGGTACTGAGTTTGATCCTCAGTACAAAAAAGAAATAAAAGAAAAGGAAGTATTCTTTTTTTTTTTTTTTGATACTGGGGATTGAACTCAGGATTGCACTTGTGAGGCAGGCGCAGTGTCACTGGGGCTAATTCCCTGCCCAAGTATTCTTAATCTAGAGTGTCCATGAAGACAATTCAAAAAATCTTTTCTCTTGGGTAGGGAAAAAACTCTATCTCAGTTCAGTGCTAGAGCACTTGCCTAGCACACATGAGGCCCTGGGTTCCATCCTCAGCATGAACATCCTCAGTACCAAAGGAAAAAGAAAATCCCGTATCTAGTTTCACATTTTTACCGCAAAAGAAATGCGGTTTTCCTGCAGCTGACAGTGGAGGCCACAAACCACAATAGCGTCAGTAGCACCAGCGACGCTGCCACCAACAGAAACCAGAGTCCCCAGCCCAGGACAGTTCCTACCTACCCTCCACGCATGGGGCTCCATGCTCCACCCTGTGCTCACTGTCACCACCACCGGACCCTCTAGGACCTGTGGCCCTCTACTGCATGTCTCCCGCAGGCCCAAAGGCTGGGCCGCAGCTGGCACTTCGAGGGGGAGGTCGAATGTTTAGGAGGTGGGGCATGTGGGGAGGACCTCAGGTCACCCCCTAGACCCTCTGGTCCCTGCCTGCCTTCCTGCTGGCTGGCGAGGGGGTGGTTCTACTCCCCTCCTGGCACCCCACGAACTGCTCCCCCTACAGGCCAGAAACAATGGGGCAATGGATCCAGGGCAGCAACTTCCGAACTTGTGAGGTAAACAACCCTTTCTCTTCATGAGTCAGTTAACTAGGTGTTTGTTACAGTGATGGAAGGTGGGCCAACCTGGGGCCTAGGTACTGTGTTTATTTACACACCTTTTCTTTTTTCTTTTTTCTTCTTGTGGTACAAGAGACAGAATGCCAGGGTGCCACACTGAGCTATGCCCCCAGTCCCTTTTGTATCTTTAAAATTTTGAGCAGAGTCTCACTAAGTCCCAAAGTTGCTCGGGTTGGGGTTAAACCTGAGATCCTCTTGCCCCAGCCTCTTAGTCACACAGGTGACCACAGCCCTCCATAAGGAAGAGTGAAGGTAGCAAAGCTCCTCCTTCCTTGACAGGGTCACTGACTCAGAAGCCCGAAGCCGGAAGCCTGTTCACTGACTTCGAAGCCCGAAACCCAAAGTCCGAAGCAGGGACCCAGTCCCACAGTGGTGCACCCCGAGCCAGCCGGCGCCTACCTTCCTGGGGTCCTTCCTGTCCCGGGTGCGGCCACTGTCCTTGCGTGGGCTGGGCAGGCCCCGGGCGCAGCGGCCGGGCTTGGCAGTGGTCGTAGCGCTGCTGCTGGGTGCGGGCGCGGGCGCAGAGGCCGAGGCGTCGTGCAGGAAAATGCGCTCGCTGCGCCGCCGGGTCCACAAGTCGTCATCGCTGGCTTCAGGCCCCGCCTCGAAGCCCGGCTCCTTGGGACCCCGCAGCTTGCGGGCCTTGCGCCCCTTGTCGGCGGCCAGCTTGGCCTTGCTGGGGCTGCCGGGGCCATGGGCTGAGGGCGCGGGCGTGGCCAGCGGGGGGCTCGGCTCCCCGGGCGCCTTCTTGGGCCGCAGCAGTGTGGTGGCCGGCGGCCGGCGCACCTTGACCTCGCTCTCTGAGTCTGTGTACTCGAACTCTGTGCCTGTGGGGAAGACGGGAGGGTGGGGCAGCACTAAGCTCGGGCACCTCCTGCTGCCTCACCCCAAGAGCTTAGCCCAGGACTAGCCAGTGCCTCCGGGTACCTCGGGACCCCAGAAGTGAGGGCAGGAGAGCCAGAGGGGCCCAGCCCTGCACAGGCAGGAGGCGCCACAGCCCTGGGCCCAGCCCCTCACCAGCCCTGTCCTCAGCAGGCCAAGGGACCCACTTCCCTCTGCCCTGGGCTCCCAGGCTCTGGAGGCCTTAGCTGCCCCTGGCAGCTGCTGGCTCCTGCCCAACCCCACCTGCCTAACCTCTGCGCTTTCCCTTCCACTCCTGTTCTGCCACTATGGCATCTTGCTCCACCTCAACTTGGAAAACCCTGCAGTCCGCTACGATGGGCATGCAGGCACGTCCTCTGTCCACACCTCCCTCATCACAGTGACACACCATGGCGCGTCTGTCCCTGTCCAGCCCATCTGGCCTGCCCTGCCCTCTAGAGCGGCCCCCTTACCCCCCTTCTCATCCAGCCTCCAGCCTGGACAGAATCGGCACCCAGGAAAAGCATGACCATGTGAGTTGGTGGCACTTCTGTGGGGGCACAGGCTTTGGGTTAGAGCCCAGGGTTGGGACATCTGCAACACCGTTGGGTTAGCAGCCCTGGAGAGGGTCAGTGCCTGCCTTGGGTTCCCCTAGCACACACGGCAAGATACCAGGGCCCATGTGAGCTCTATTGGCCCCAGGCAGCTGGCAGCCTGGCCACAAGGGTTCCCATGAGAGGTCACCCCCAAAGAGGCAGCCACAGCAGCAGAGCCAGGGGGCCACCCAGGGAGAAGAGCCACTGGCAAAGCCTAAGGGTCCCAACAATTCATCTCCCTTGGGCGAGAAGGCTGCTGGGGCTTTCTGGCTGAGGAGGCAGCTTGGAACTTCTACTCTGAGCAAGAGATACTGAGACTCCTTCTCATGAAAGCCCAGCACAGGTGTACCCTGTGTGGGGCAGGCAGACAGTGGACTGAGAAGGTGCCCATGGAAGGGGGAGACTTTGCCCTGGACCCCAACTCTGGCCCAGGGCACAGGCTGCCTGGTGCTCACGGGAGGGAGGGCTGTGCATGTGTGGAAAGAAATGAATCCTTCTGGCCTTAACAACAGGAAAGAGAAAGCTGCTGACAATGCAGGAGAGAGTAGAAAGGACTCCCAAGCTCTGTCTCCCCACACATGGCACAGAATTGATAATAGCCCAAGTAAGCAGCAGAAGTCGATCTGAAAAAAGCCACAGAGACCACAGGAAACAGAAACTGGAGTCCCAGACCCACCAGGGCAGCCCCTGCTACAAGGCAGCACCACTCACTGAAGAAAACTAGGGCATGCGGACCCTGCACAGCCTCACCTCCATGACGCCAAGCACAGGACCCTGAGACAATCAGCAAACAAGAGCCAAGAGGGTGCACAGCATTCTGCACAGAGAAGGCAGCCACCGCATCTGACCCCGAGATGCAGCCCATGTCCAGATTAGGGGAGAAGAATTCTCTCGGGGAGATCACGGCTAGCTATTTCTAAGGAGGCAGAACAACACTCGTGTGGGGATTTTGTTTGGTTTGTAGTACTGCAGTTGGAACCTGGAGCCTTCGAACTCACCTACATGTCTGCACAGCTTTTTTTTTTTTTCGTACCTGGGATCAAACTCAGGACCTTGCGCTTGCCAGGCAGGTGCCGGAACCACTGAGCTAAATCCCTGGCCCCCGCCTTTTTATTATTTTGAGACAGGGTCTTATTAAGTTGCTAAATTGCCCAGGCAGGGCTCAAACGTGTGATCCTTCTGCTTCAGCCTCTACACCAGCAGAAAAATGGGAAGGGCCTGCAGAGGAATAGAAACAATTGAAAAGAACCAAATGGGAGTTCTAAAACTGAAAATTGTAACTCTGGAAATAAATTCACAGAAGGGATCTATGAGCAGAATGTGTCTGAGTAAAGGAGGTGAGTTTGAAATGGCAACCACAGCACCTGAGAGCTATCAGGGGGTAACCAATGGTATGGAGAACACTCAAACCAATAGATAAGCTGAGGGCAAGCAGAAATTTGCTAACAGATCCAAGATGTTACATGAACACCAAGCAGAAGCAATACCAGGGAGTCTGCACAGACCATGCCGAGGCACATCACAGTTGCTGTTGAGAGAGAATGAAAGCAAACCCCAGAGAGAAGCAGGAGAAGCCACAGCTTGGACCTGAACGGCCCAAAAAGGAGGCAGCCTGGTCCCCAGCATGGCACCTATAAAAGGCGTTTGGTCACCGGGGATGTGCCTCAAAGGGGACTGTGGGACCCCAGTCTCTTCCTCTTTCCCTCTTTTCCCCGCCAGAGACGAACAGCTTCCCTGGACACAGCTCCCCACAATATACTTTGCCCTCACAGGCCCACAGCAACACAGCCAGTCAGTCATAGACTGAACCTGCAAAATCGTTAGCCAAAATGGACCTTTCCTCTTTTTAATTTGATTGTCTCAGGTATCTGTTGTAGTAACAGAAAGATGACCAACACATGACCTGTCACTTAGAAAAAAATTTGATTAATGGGTAACTTTCCATCAGAAACTGGGGGCCAGGGCCAGGGATTTAGCTCAGTGGTTCCACTGCCTGCCTTGCAATTGGAAGGTCCCGAGTTCGAACCCTGGTACCCAAAAAAAATGGCTTTGTCTATAAAACTTTGGGGCCGAGGATTTAGCTCAGTTGTTCTGCTGCCTGCCTCACAAGCGCAAGGACCCGAGTTCGATCCCCAGTACCAAAAAAAAAAAAGAAACAAGGCCAAAAGAGAGTAGAACATCTTTAAAGTGCTGAGAGAAAAACTGGAAATGCAAAATTCTACATCCAGTGAAAACATCAAAACATCACTCAAGAACAAAGGTATATTGGAAATATTTTCAGATGAAAGAACGCTAAGAAAATTCATTACAAGGCCAGACATGGTGGAACACGTCTATAATCCCAGCACTTGGGAGGATGAGGCAGGAGGATTGCTATGAGTTCAAGGCCAGCATAGGCTACATAGTGAGTTCAAAGCCAGCCTGAACTACATAGCAAAACTGTCTCAAAAAACCAAAAGCAAAAGAAAAGGAAGTTCATCACAAAGCTGGGTGTGGTAGCACATACCTGTAATACCAGCACTCTGTAAGGCTGATGCAGGACAACTAAGCTCAAGTGATTTAGCAAGACCTATCTCAAAATTAAAAATAGAAAATAAGGCTGGGTATGCTGGACATGGCGCCACATACCTGTAATCCCAGCACTTGGGAGGCTGAGGCAGAAGGATTGCCATGAGTTCAACCCCTGCCTGGGCTACATAGTGAGTTCCAGGCCAGCCCAGACTACATAGTAAGACCCTATCTCAAAAAAACAAGAAAAAAAAGGCTAGATATGTAACTCAGTGTGAAGGCCCTTGGCTCAATCCCCATTATTGGAAAAAAAAAAATTAAGGGTCAATTTAAATGGAAAGACATCCCATGTTCATGGATCAAAAGGTTTACAATGTTAAGAGACAAAAATATTCCCCAAACTGATCTACCAGTTCAACACAGTTCCTATGAGAATGCCAGCTGGCTTTTTGGCAGAAATTGATAAGCTGATTCTAAAATTTACATAGAAATGCAAGAAACTCAGAAGCTCCAAAACAACTTTAAAAAGAAAAAAAGGAAAAATTGGGGGAACTCACATTTTCCAACTTCAAAACTTAACACAAAGCTACAGTAAAACAAGACAATGTGATACAGGCACAAGGATAGAGAAAATGGATGTTTAGACCACTGGAAAAGAATTGGAAGCCCAGAAACAATCCCTCACATTTATGGTCAATTAATTTTCAACAAAAGCGGCAAGGTGCTACTGGAACTACTGGATATCTAAATGGAAAAACCCTGCATCGTTTCAACACAAAAATTAACTAGAAATGGATCACAGATCTAAACAAAACAGCCAAAACTGTAACAGTCTTAGGAAAAACCAGGAATAAATCTTTGTGACCTTAGATTATACAGTACTTTCTTCCATATGACCCCAGAATCAGGTGACATGAGAAGAAACAGATAAATTAGGTTTCATCAAAATTAAAAACATGCTGGGAGCAGTGACACACGCCTGCAATCCCAACTCCTGAGGAGGCTCAGGCAGAAGGACTGCAAGTTCAAGCCCAGCCTGGGCAACTTAAGCAAGACCCTGTCTCAAAATAAAAATAAAATGGGCTGGAAATGTAGTTCAGTGGTAAAGCACTTGTCTAGCATGCAAAAGTCCCTGGGATTGATCCCTAGTACCAATAAATAAGTTAATTAATTAATTAATTTTTTGTTTTGAATAATGTTATTAAAAAAGTGCATAGACAACTCACAGAAAAGGAGAAAATACCTGCCAATTCTATCAGGTAAGAGTGTTGCAGTCAAAATATACAAAGAAGTCATGGCCGGGGATTTAGGTCAGTGGTTCTGCCACCTGCCTCGCAAGTGCAAGGCCCCGAGGTCAATCCCCGGTATCAAAAAAACAAACAACAAACAAAATATAAAGAAGTCTTACTCAATAACTTTTAAAAAGTTAACAAAGACTAAAGGATTTAAACATGTCTTTTTCATTCAAGAAATGCAAATTAAAACAAAAACTGAGATTCCATCTCACTCCAGAAAGAATGGATCCTTTTTTGTTTTGGTGCCAGGGATCGAACGTGGGACCTTGCGCTTGGGAGCCAGGCAAAGAATGGCTCCTATTAAGAAATCAATCGGGCTGGGGACTTAGCTCAGTGGTTCCGCCGCCTGCCTCACAAGCACAAGGTTCCAAGTTCGATCCCCAGAACCAAAAAAAAAAAAAA